TTTTTTTTGTTTCGTATTGAGTCATGTTAGAATATAATATAATTGTATTCGGTTGATTTCTCGTGTAATTTTGTCCTCAGTCTCTTGACAATGTGTAAGCAATTAATCTAAATCAAAACAACCTATTTAATTATCCATAAACTTATTACCAAAGCGTACAAAAAAAAGAAAGAATCAGTTTAAGATAGTATTGATTAGAAGGTCATAAATAGTGTTCTGTAAAGATGCTATGTAATACATCATTAATTGATTCTTTTTTGTTGGATTTATTACTAATTAATATTTTTCGTAAAATTCAAATATTAATCCTTGAGATTTTTGTAAATTAGAAAGAAAAATGAGTTTTAATCTCATCTTAATTATAAATTTATTCTATTTTTACAGCCAACTTCATCAAGCTCACACATGTCCTCTTCTTCCTCGTCATCTCCAGTTCAACCAGTAAAAAATCAAGTAAAATCTAAAACAAATATGCGTCGTAGTTTCTCCAACATGTCTTTATCATCACGTTATTCATATGATAATATCGATGAAAATGAAGAATATACATATGATATTCATGGTCATCGTCAACGACCAATACCTGGTACACCTATTGATTATTTATCAAAAACTAAACCAACAAAGAGAATGAATACAGTAAATAATGATATTCAAGGTGATACAGCATCTACGACGAGTGCTATGACACTTCGTACTGAATCTTATAGACAAGCACATCCATTACAATCGTTTGCTTTCGATTATCCTAAACAACCATTACTACCTCAATCACTATCAAGAAAAGATAGTTCAAATCTACCTAATAAACATTATGAAATATCTGTTTAAGAAGAAAAAAACACACTAATTTCTGTGATTATCATAGCCATTTATTTTTTGTTTGCCTTAATTCTATATAATATTTGAAATGGATGAAAAATTTCTTTAGGAGAGAGAAAAAAAGCTATTCTTGTTTTTCTGTTTTTTTTTCTTTTGTTATATAACAAAAATGTTCATTTTGTTTTCTTGTTAGATATTATTCTTATTATTTCTTGAAGAGCGAAAAAAAAATGAACATATCGATATGTATTTGTATTTAAAAAAAATCCTTTTTTGTTTAATGCTTTGTATTTTGCAGAAAAAGAAAGATGTTTTTTTTGTTTGTTGTTTCTACTTTATCTCCTCTTTAAAAAAGAGAAAAAGCAATTGTTCATTTATTAAATTTCTTCTTTACTTTAATCTCGACAGTTGTCAGTACATGATTTACAATCACATCGTGTAACAGACGGATAGTTTATAATACGTTGTTGTTGATTATTACATATTACGAGAATCTGACGAGGAATTGTCATATTTGGTATACAACAATGAATACGATGATTATGTCGGTAGGACGTTGATTCCGATTGCCAATCATGAATTAAAAAATCTTCCGAATAACATTGACCACGACAGCGTGTTGTTTCAATTTCTATAGGAGAATCTAAACAATTTCGAATATTTAACGTTTCGTTATAGGTTTCCATATAGCACGGATGAATATTTGATGTGGTTGTTGCCATTATAGATGAATACAAAACAAAAAGTATAATAATTACAGCAGCCATTCTATATAATGGGTAAAAACGGTAAGAAAAGGATGAAATGAAAACAACAGCTAACCTCATCTTCTTCTTCTACTTTCTAACGTTTCTTTTTTCTTTCTTCTTCATTGACTAATAAATCCTGCGATATTTAATAAGATAATTTTTCTTCACTACTACTTCCACATTTATTTTCTTTTGCCAGTGAAAACAACAACAAGAACAAACATAGTAATGTTAATACACACACATAGACAAAGAAAGTTGTATACAAAAAAATATAGAGACAAGCACACAAGTTCATACATACAAATGTGTCATTCTACAACAAATAGTACAGAAAAAAAAAATTTATTCATAACTCGACCAAAAAAAAAAACAGGAATTTAATCTTCATCTTCATCGTCATCATCTTCATCGTCGTCATCATTGTCTTCATCCGATGATTTTGCTTTAGCTGGTGCTTTTTTACCAACAGGTTTCTTTGGTGATGCTTTTTTGCTTGAAGATGCTTTTGCTCCACCTTTACTAGCTTTAGCAGGTGAACCACCACCGCCGCCACCACCACTCTTTTTATATTCTGAAAGACGTTGCTCATATTTTTGTTTTTCAACTGCAGCCTTTTGTTCATAACGTTTTTTAGTATCATCACTATAAGATAAAAATTTAATATATTAACATATGGATATATGAAAATTTATTGTTTTATTATTTACGTGACTTTTTTCCATCGGGCACCAATTTCTTTAGAAATATCGCCAACAGACAATGATGGACTCTTTTTCTTTATATCAGGTCGTTCATCTTGTGAAAAGAGAAAGAATGCTGATAATGGTCGTTTTGGAGCATTTGGATCTTTGTTAGCTTTTTTCGATGAACCAGAAGCACCACGAGGCATTGTATTAAGTTTTATTGAAATGAATATACGAATCTAAAATATCGATATAGATGACGATATAGCTATTCGAGCAACTGAATTTGAACACACAAAACAAATGAATAAATACGATCGTTGCACTCTTTTTATTATGAATGAACAACGAACAAGAGAGAAATGTGACCTAGTCAGGCAGTGGTGAATAGAAGAAAACGCACAAACATGACGTGTATGTCTCTCTCGCTGCTTTTTTTTAAACATAAAGCAGTCATGTATGTGTTCGTCTCCGTCTGTCTACATAGAGAAACACATAGTGATGTGAAAGGAAAAAAGAAAGAGTAGGGAATAAAGGCAACGACAGCGCGAAACAGCTTGCTTGCTGGTGTATGCGTATGTGTGTGTGTGTGCTCGCATATACATAGAGAAAAGTAACAGCAGTGCAATTTTATGTGTGGATGAGAAAATGGCAAATAATTTGTCACATTTATATTCGATGAGAAAAAAGAAATTAAAGATTGAATGTATGAAATTGAGCATGTATCTTTGAAAAAAATAGTTTTCAATTGATTTTTAATCAAATTATATTTATTAATATATATATATATGAAACATATAGAAATAAAATTCAAGGTGTTTATATAATAGATTTTCAAGTTAATAATAGTTTGTTTGCCGTTCGGCTATATTAAATTACAAGACTTTTTTTTCTTTTTAATGAAAACAATAACTGATTTAAAAAGTTTGAAGGAGGAAAATATTTCTATCTATGTTAGCTCTTGTTTTGAGAACAAAGTAAAATATTATGACAGGCATGTCTAACATGTTTTAGTTCTAATTTTATATAGAATTATTTATGAACAATGTAAATATAGGCTATTCTAAAATAGAAAGAAATAATGTACTCGAAGTCTTTGCACTGAAAAAACTGACTTTAAGCAGAATTTATGATATTTTAAAATGGAAAACCGTGAAGTTGCTAATATTATATTCAAATTGAGGTTTTCTTAATGGAAAAAAAATTAATTAAGTCGTACAAAAACCTTAGAAAAAAATTTATTAAGATATGCATACAATAAAATGATTTTCTCTATGAAAGATCAAATCGAGTGAATGATATATTGACGAATTGATAACGTTTTATAATCTATCAAAATATATACCACATTCGTCGTTAAAATAATTTATTACAATGCGAATAGATTATCTTCGAATAGTATAGTGTTGTTTCCATTGGTGAAAAAAAAATAGAACAATAAAATAAATTATTGGAAGATTCATTGAAGTGTAACATATATTATATTTATTTTCATCATTATTTTTTATAATGATTCTTTATTACACATTAATTTGTACTTCCAAGGTGGTACCAATAAATTCACCTTCATTCATTCTTGTTACTAGGGCAGTTCGTAATATTGATCAATATATTGCTAAACGTTTAAATAAACAAAGGTATAACCTTCGTTTAACAATTTGTCTATCATTTTTTCTTTCGATCAGATACCTTCTTTGAATGTATCAGAAAAAGATGAATCAATAAAATCATATGGCGAAGGTCATATGTATAAAATAGGAAATTTACAAAAAGCATGTGTAAATTTTGATACAGTTTTTCACATCACTAGACAATCAAGTGTCAATATAACATTCGATACATTACTTGAAAATAATATAATTCAATTCTGTTTAAAAGAAAAATTTATTACAGAGCACACAAACTTTTCCTAGTTGCAAAAAATCAGATATAAAGTATTACTTTTCCTAGTTTATTTTATGTTATCCAGAAGATATACAAATAAAAACAGATGATTGTGTACAAGTATTTGAAAGATGTATTACGAGATTATCACATTTGCAACTACCCAGGTCAAAAAATCTTACAAGAATCTGGCAAAAAAATCGTGGTCCGTGGAATCTTGTATCTAGTCATAACATGTTTTTGTTAAAATATCTTACGTGCATTGTATTTTCTCAGTAATAATTTTAGTAGAATATTATGGTGGCATTGTACTGCATAAGAATCTTATAACAGTTCTTATAGCACGAACTAGTGCAAGAAATCAGGAACCACGATTTTTTGTATGATCCTTGTCTGACTTCATCCGATCATATATGATCATAGATACGATTCTTACAAGATCTTGCTATCTGATTGCTCGACCAGGGTATACATAAAAAAATTGAATATAACAAAAATCTAATGTAAGAGATAAATTATCACAAAGAAAACTAATTGAGTAAAATTTGGTTGAGCTATTTATTTAAAAAAAGGAGAAATAAGTAGATTTATACTCGAAATTATTGAGTGAACAGCGTTTTTTAAACTATTTTATAAAAAAATACTGATATATTATCATACATTGTATTTCATTCTGTTTAATAAAATATGAAATTCATGAAAAGCTTTTAAAAATTCAACGGCATTAAATTCGAAGTAGGTTTTTTGAAATATGTCATCGTATCTAATTTACAACTTTGTATAAGACTATATTGAATATTAATTTGATACGAAATCAAAGCTACTTTTGTTAACAAACTATGAATAAATTATGCAATTCTTCATATGAATGATACTATAATAAAATTTTAATATTGTTAGAGATTGTTTGGTATTAGAAATTCTTTTCAAAAAAAGACAAGGAAAAATACTTGTTGACTTATGACACTTAAATCTTCTTGTATTTCTCTTCAAATATCTAAACATTTGCAAAAAAGATTAACTCCTACGATCTCCTTCTAAATCCATCTCGAACTATTGGATTTTATTCTGACACTTTATTTGATGAAAATATAAATACATACAATCATCGAAACATGATGCATTTAGATGAATTCGAAGTAAAAAAACGCTGATATTTTTTTGCAAGTTTATAATTCTTACTTTATAGAAGAAAAAAAATGCTATCTTAGTAAATCGAAATTTATTTATAGATGTTTTTTGCAGTGTAAAAAGAAAACAGAAAGAAAAAAAGGTTTGGTCCCTATGAGGATCGAACTCATGACCTCCGCGTTATTAGCACGGCGCTCTAACCAGCTGAGCTAAGGGACCGTGTTTATTTTCATTCTCAACTTGGTAGTTATCATTATTGATAGTAAATACAAGCTGATATAAAGTATAAATTTAACTTTTTTTCTATTATTATTTGTTTTATAGAATATTGAAAGAATAGTAGTTTTGTTTTTCTAACTAAAACAAGATCTTTATTTATTTACAAATAGCATATATATATATTTGTCACAAGCGTATATATATTTACATAAAAACTGATCAGCAAAACAATATAATAACTAAATCTGACGGACTTATATACACTCAAAACGAACACTAAAGTTTTTTTTTTAAAATATATACAATCATTCTAAAAACCAACTGTCCATGGACGACCTTCTTTTGCAAGAATATATTTAATAGCATCCAAAACATCATTTTCAATTTTTGTTGGTACTTTCCATTGATTTTTTCCTTCAAGTTTGTGTTTGGCTGGATCGTAAACACCTGTGCATACTAATACAGATTCACATGAAGTTGCACTTAAAAATTTTGATTCTGGAAGTAAACTGTAACCACTAATACTTTTCTTCAAAATTGTTGCTTGTTGTAATAATTGATTATACATATTTGCACCAACAATATCAACATCAGGATTATCTCCAATGAAATAAATTTTTTCAATTTTTGATTGACCACTAGCTAATGCAATTTTATTAGCTACTGCTTCAGCATATTGATATGATATTTCAAATGGTTTACCAACAAATGATGTATATTTAAGTTCATTTCCACTTAAATTCTATAAATAAAATATAATAAAATTATATATTCGTAAAAGTAAAAAGAATTATTTACTTTATATAAGGCTTCTAAACATGTAAGAAAAGCACCATGACCAAAACGTGGTAAATCAGCAGCAGCTTTGAATACAAGATCTCTATTACAAGCAATAATTGGTATATGATCACGATCAGCATCGGAATCATCTGGTATAGCACCTGGATTACCATCGGTTAAAAGAAGATCAGTAATAACTTGTAATGATCTTTCCCATTGTACTGGTTCACCAAGTAAAACAATACCTATACATAGATTAATAATAAAATTATTAAGAAGAGATTAAAAAATAGAATATTTACCATCAATGGGACGAAAATTTTCATCACGAACAAGACCTTGGGTTTTAATCATTTCACTCTAAAACAGATGATAAATATGAATATCGAAAAGAATCTTTCCTTATTTTTACACTTACCAACTGAGCTCGATTCATATGATTGACCATATCCAATTCTGGAAATGCTGAGCAAACTTTTTCAATTGTTGTCATACTTTTGAAGCCAAGCCTATATTAAAAAAGAGAAAAAAAAATAAATCATCTTTTTATAATCGAAATTAAAATACATACGTTCGACCAATTTCTTCAATTGGACCTTGTCCAGAAATTAAAACATGTTTATTATGATATTCAGTTAATGAACGCATTGGTGTTTGAGCCAAAACAACTTGTTCTGGATGAATCTATAATTTAAATATATATGATTCGAAAATGAATTTTCAATCTTCGAAAGATTAACTTACAGTAATACCAAGTACAGCTGTTAATTGTTTAGCTTTATCTGCTTCAAGCATACATGTATTTGAGAGAAATACAACAGGTACTTTGAGTTGAATCAATTTTTGAATTGCTGGTTTAGCAACAGTAATAAAGTTTGGACCTTTAGTAATAACACCATCAATATCAAAGAGACAGGCAAAGTTTGGCTATTAAAAAGAATATATATATATATATATTGATTGAATAGAAGTAATATATTTATTTACCGTTTTCATAATAGAGATTCTTGTTTGCAAGAACTACTTGTGAAGTTTGACCAACAGATCTGATATTTTGTTGTAGTAGATAGATTTTTTTATAATAAATGAGAAATTTTGTAGGCCTTATATACATCCTGATAAAGCGGGTGAGAGACACGAAGGGTGTGCGTGCTATTACGAATAAAAAAGGGGGAGCGCTAGCCATAGCTGGGTACTATCTCTTACATTTCAGTACTTTATGGAGATCATGTGATCAGTAAATATTATATGTTAGTCAGATGACAAATATATTCTTTGCTAGAAAGCACACGCTCGCGGAATGTTGCTGTTCTATTTTGCTATATCTTTCTCTTTCTTTTCATCATATGATGCTATGGCGTTGTGTGTGACGCTATAGAGGTAGCGATTCAAGTCTATATTCTTCTCTATTCTGTTGAAGGGCAAAATATAAGTGACAGAACGAGTGCGTTATACGTGTAACTCATGTGCTTGCATGCGCACATTGTCGTTAATCTATTATAGAAAATACAAAGAATAATGATCACGCGCATAAGAGTGACTAGATTTAGAATGACGCATAAGCTAAGTTAATCACATGATTTTTATTATGGTGCGATCATTCCGAGGAAGTATTCAACGGCATACAATAAATCACTATGTTTCGCCCCTCTCTCTCCCTCTTGTTTTTTGTTATTACATTTTGTGTGAAAAGGTAACTGATAAGAATGTTTTTCTCTGGGAATCTTGACATCATGAGAGTGATAAAATATTTATTTAATAAAAAAAAAATGGGTCATTTCTTGCACTGAAGTATTGTCAAATATTTAATCTTAATAACACATCCAGGCAAAAATAAAGATTAACTTTCAACTTTTATCAATAACCTTTCGAGAGTTAGTATCCACAACAGTAAATGTTCGAGTGGGACATATTATATAAAATATTATACAATCATCGTCAGTAATAAATAATAAAGTACCAATTAAATACTGTAAGAAATGATATGATCTCCTTGCTGTAATTGATCATACGTAAAAAAAAATTATGTATAGATTTAGATTCAAATTCTTTTATCGATTAAGAACTCTGCTACACTTATTCATTAAATTATATGCTGATCATTTTATTTGAAATAGATATTATAGTTTTAGAACATCGCAATTGAAATACAATAGTATCTGTGTGTACTATTTTTCAGTAAAAAGATAACTTCATCGAGGTCATAGAATATAATTTTTTTTTCTAAATCTACTACAATGCATTGTTTAAGACATATTCTTTTACTATCTAACCTGGTTGTCACTTTACTCTTTTTTTTCAAAATTAAAAAACGCAAAACTAAAATCCAAAGTATATTTTGATAAGAAAAATTTCAGTCCAGTATTTTGTAGTGGAATGAAACCCTGCCTTTTACCAAGCCTCTTTCACTAGTATTTTATCATATTTGTGTAGAAAGATAAAAAAAATATTTCATATATTATATCATCAGATATTCATTCGTTGTGAATCTTGTTAAACTAAACGACGTAGAAATATTTAATGTATAGAAAAATTCAAAGAATGATATCGAAAATATATTTGCATTCTATATGAAATATTGAATCGAACTCGATAAAGCATGTGACAATGAAAAACAACGTGTTTATAAATGTTTCATACGAAGTATAATATCATGTGTTGTTTTTTTTATTATTCATTGCATAATATGATGAAACGCAATATTGTTTTTTTTATTTACACGACAAATAATTCTTTCAGCTTGTGAACAATCTACATAGATAGTTTTGTTTGCATACTATTAATGTTTTACTTATATTAATTAATTTAAAAATCTTGCTGATATCTCTTTTTTTTATACACAGAGCATATAATAATGTGCAGTATCATATAAATATCTCACTATACTGAAATCAACCATGTTAATTATAGGGCTTTTATCAAGGGGGAACAAACTGATTTCTAGATCAGAAATCAGCATTTTTGTGTTGATCAAAAATCAATATAAATCATCAAAAATTGATAGAAACAAACAACAAGACACCATACGAAATTAAAGTGTTCGCTGGGAATATTAAAAACTATCAGGAATTTAAAAGGTCAATAAAATTCAGTGGAAATCAATAGAAATCAAGGTCTAATTTTTAACATGAATGTCAATGATTTTACTGTAACTTTGAATACTTTTCACTGATTTGCAATGAATTTTTCTCAGTCATTTTCTATGACTTTAACGTAAAATAGTGATTTTGAATGATTTCTAGCCTAGAAATCAATTTATTCCCCTTGCTCTTTATTAAGTTAAGTTCTAATATAGTGAATAACTAGTTATCAGAAATAAAAAAATTTGCATTGTATTTATACAAGTTAATATTTAAATAAAAATAATATTTTTCTCATTTACCTTTATAGAATATATTCAGAAACTATACGAATGATTAACTTTATTATTTACAAACTATGCAAAAATATATAATAATTTTCGCTAATTCTATATTTTACGTTTAATTACAAAGTGACGTTATTATACTTGATGATACTGTCATATATGCATTATAAAATATTAACGTTTATTTGAGAAGAAAAACAATACTTTATTCAATAATATTTTCTTACTATAATTGTTGATAAGGAAATAGAAAGTGAATAGATATAGAAAAAAAGAATATTAAATCGTACAAAAATTGATTGAACTTTAAGAGCATAGTATCAATTTATTACCACAGATAAACTGATTATCATTACAAAAAAGTCGCACTCAACGTATGACACGTGCTTTTTATCGTGTTCTGTATTCAACACGCTAAACCAGACTGTTTATTTGTATTCGTTCCTTCTACTCTTCGCTCTACGACATACGACAGTACTTGGAGTACTATTACATTACAACCTTTCAACCAATCATTGCACAACAAACACAAAAATAATAAATACCACCATTAATACGAAAAACAAACGTAATACAACACACGTATAATTTCATATTTTATCTACTACACCCAAATAAACTACGTAACTTATTTTCATATAATATCTTACATTAAAATTAATATCAAATGGATCAAGAGGTATATTTTTTTAATAGATAGTTTATTGTTTATTTAAATTAAATTTATAATAGAAATCAAAATCCAATGAAAGTAATAAAGATGCTACTGTTGAAAATAAAAAGAAGCAAGAAAATTCATCTGATTCGACATCTTCAAAAAAACATGCACCAGCATTAAAAGAAAACAATTATAAACAAATTAGTATTCGTGGTATTCCATTGGTAAATTCTCGAACATAAATTTCGATCTTTTACATATATATTTTTTCTTTCTAGTTAGAAAATGTTGAAGAAGTTAAAAAAGTATTTAATCGTCATTTACATTTCACTATTGTCAAAGATCGTGATGTTGCTACTGATCATGATTATTATGAATCAATAGCTTATACCGGTTTGTTTTGAATTAAATTTACTTATTTTTATTAATTCAATTTATTTAGTTCGTGATCATCTTGTTAGTAGATGGATTCGTACAAATCAATATCATTTTGAAACTGATCAAAAGGTAGAAATTTTATATATATATATGTTTAATAATAAATATTTATTTGTATTTGTATTTAAAGCGTGTTTATTATCTTTCACTCGAATATCATATGGGAAGAGCATTATCTAATTGTATGATTAATTTAGGCATTGAAAATTCTGTTGATGAAGCTCTTTATGAAATGGGTTTGAATATTGAAGAATTAGAAGAACTTGAATCGGAAGCTGCACTTGGAAATGGGGGTCTTGGTAAGTTAGAAATTCATAACAGTACACATCATTATAAAACAATCGATGTTTTCTTTTCTCAGGACGATTAGCTGCTTGTTATCTCGATAGTATGGCTACATTAGGTCTTTCTGCCTATGGATATGGTCTTCGATATGATTATGGTAAATATCTTTTAAGATAATTTCTATGCAAAATCAATTTGGTTTTCTTTTAAAGGAATTTTTGCTCAAAAAATTGAAGATGGTTATCAAAAAGAATATCCAGAGAATTGGTTAAGGTATTGCACGCGAAACTTCTTTTTTTGTCTTTTTAAATAACATATTATGTTAAGATATGCATGTCCATGGGAAATAAGTCGACCAGAATTTCTCGTACCTGTGCAATATTATGGTAAAGTTATCGATGATAAAGATGGAAAGAAGAAATGGGTCGAATATATAACTGTTCATGCTATGCCATACGATTCACCAGTAAGAATAAAGACATCTCTTATAGTACTATCACTTATATTTATATGATAAAGATTCAGTTTTTGACGCAGTTAGTATAAGGAAATTTTCATAAAAAATATACGAACGATACATAATGAGTTGAGTTCTATAGAAGAAATGATTAACCTATTCTCATCGATAAATTACTTAAGTTTTTCTAAGAACAATTTATAGTAGCATATTCACTGTATCATCGTTTACTACATATTCCTAATTATAAGGAAACGTATGATACAATATCCATACTTATGACGACTATACTTCAGTATTTATCTAACTTCGTATAGCATCAAAAATTATGAACTTTTTTCTTCTTTGAATCTTAACTGTGTATTGAGTTATATTACTATGTAATCATTAATATAAGTCTTTCACTTCTATCTAAGTTTAGTCTTTAATTCTATTTTTAAATATATGTTATTTATTAGATTCCTGGTTATAATAATAACGTAGTAAATACATTACGTTTATGGTCCGCAAAAGCTTCCGAAAAATTTAATTTTGCATTATTCAATAGTGGTGATTATATTCGTGCTGTTGCTGAACAAGTAAAACTATATTCAAGAAAATAAAAGAACAAACGATTTAATTGATATTATTTTTTTTTCATTTTCTCTAGAGTTCATCAGAAGATATTACTCGAGTATTATATCCAAATGATGATGTATGTATATATGTTTTAGTTTACGTTTGTTAATATATCTTTTTTCTATTATTTAGTTCGATGAAGGAAAAATTCTTCGTTTAAAACAAGAATATTTCTTAGTATCAGCATCGGTACAAGATATTATAGCACGTTATAAACGATCGAAAATAAATTTAAAAGCAGATCAACAAGTTGATTTTACAAATTTTCCAGATAAAGCAGCTATTCAATTAAATGATACACATCCAGCTTTAAGTGTTGTAGAATTAATGCGTTTATTAATTGATGTAGAAAATCTTGGTTGGGATCAAGCATTTGATATAACAAAAAGAACTATTGCTTTTACAAATCATACACTTTTACCAGAAGCACTTGAAAAATGGCCAATTGATATGTTTCAAAAACTTTTACCACGTCATTTTCAATTAATAACCGATATTAATGCACATCATTTAGATGTAAGATGATAATAATAAGAAATTGATATAATTAATCATTTTTTGTTCTATTTAGATTGTACAGAAAAAATGGCCAGAAGATAAAGAACGTATGAAACGTATGACAATCATTGACGATGAAGCAAAAGTAAGAAGAATGACGGAAATAGATAAACTAGTCATATAGCGAACCCGAACGTTCGAGTTCGCTACATGCCTAAGATAACCTCAACAGCAACTTTGAACATTTGTCTTTTATTTCAGAAAGTCAATATGGGTTATTTATCTGTCGTTGGTTCGCATGCAGTTAATGGTGTTGCTCAAATGCATAGCGATTTACTTAAATCTACTATGTAAATTTTTTTTTCATATAAATCAATTTTATTTTTTACATATCTTCTATAGTATGAAAGATTTTTATGAACTCAATCCAGAAAAATTTCAAAATAAAACGAATGGTATAACACCACGTCGTTGGTTACTCATATGCAATCCCGATTTAGCAGATCTTATTACAACTAAAATAGGTGAAGGTTGGATTACAGATCTGGCACAATTAAAACAATTACGAGATTATGTTGATGATGAACAATTTATTCGTGATATTCAACGTGTTAAATTTGTATGAAAATATCTTTTTGATAAAAAAAAAACATTATTTTCTTTTCTAGGAAAATAAAGAACGTTTAAGTAAATTTCTTAAAAAGAATTTTAATGTTAATATTAATCCAAATTCAATGTTTGA